ATTAGATTTGCATCTTTTTTATGATAATAGTTACAGAAATTTACAATATATTGATTTGTTGGAGAATATTTTCTGTTTCCTTCTGGGATGCAACAAATAGAACTTGGCCTTTGATTTGACTGTGTATTTTATCTCTTTTTCTTTCTTCTTTTATTCTTCACTTCTCTTTTATTCAGTTTGTCATGGTATGATTTATCTATTGCTTAAGAAAGCTTCTGTTGAAATGTGCAATACTGTGCCATGTTCATAGGAGATGTCAACTTTTTTCATGAAAAAAATTTGCTTATATAATATGTAAAATGTTTTATTACTTGTTGAATGTATGAAGATTCTTTGCCTTTCTATATACATTTAACATTAATTGTTTTACAAAATTTTCTCCTTTAAATGTGTTATAGGCCAGATAGAACTCTTTACACATGTTCCAGTACTTCATAACTTCGTGGAGCATTTGAAGCATAAGAATTTCAATGTTTGTGGTGTATATTTGCTTGATTCACAGGTTTGCCTTAATTCTTATCTTTTTCCCCATACCCATTTCTTGTAACTGGCATGGCATGTTTTCAATGCTTTGTTTGATTATTGTCATTTCTTACCTTTTTTGTTTGTTTCAGTTCATCACAGATGTGACCAAGTTTATCAGTGGGTGCATGGCATCCCTTTCTGCAATGGTCCAACTTGAACTGCCCCATGTTAATATTCTGTCCAAAATGGATCTTGTGACAAACAAAAGGGATATTGGAAAGTGAGCTTCATACTTTCTGCTTATCTGCCTACTTACTTAAACCTCTGCCATTTTCTTCCTTTGTTGATCTTTATTTCTTTTCTCTTTAGCTACTTGGATCCAGAGCCTCACCTTCTGCTGTCAGAGTTGAATGAATGAATGGCTCCTCAATTCAAAAGGCTGAATAAATCTTTGATTGAATTGGTAAATCACTAAGGGACTTGCACTTTATACATAAATAAAGAGTGAGATTATTCTTACACCTGTGTTAGAATTTTTAATTCTTACACCACTCTAATTTTCCTGTTCAATATGTATTTCATAAAATATATTTCATAATTTCAGCTGCAGTTTCAAAATTGCAGTCTTATTTACCTGGATGGCTCTTCTGTCATAACTCTGTACAATTGAGCTCTTAATTGGACCTTATAACTTACGAATTCATTAGTTATAACATAATGTGATTATCTATTATTAGATGCTGATGCACGTAAAATAAAATACAATTTCATGATGGGGATGTGGATTTTCAGGTTGACCTGCAGAAAAAAAAAAAAAAAAAAGGGAGTGGTGCAGGAACACCTATGAAAAGACTTAAATATCATTAATGAATCAACATACATGGAGAGGCATTCCTACAAGAGAATCTTGCAGGTTGACTTGAAAAATGCTTTTCTCTTTAGTGAGGGGATCTGGCAAAAAGAACCTGCTATTAGCCTTTATGAGTGGTGTTAGTCTAATCATGCTGTTTTTATTTTTCATGATAGGTGGATGAATATAGGATGGTGAGCTTTATCCCACTGGACTTGAGGAAGGAAAGCAGGTGTCTGTCCCCCCCACCCTCCTTCAGTCCTTCACTCCCTCTCTCTCAAAGACACTAACTCTTGATCACCCCTATGTTAAAGAAATTCAACAAGCAAGAGAGAGAGAGAGAGAGAGAGAGAGAGAGATAGAATCTATACATGCAACTTGTGCCTCTGGTTTTTCTTTTTCCAACAAATTTTTGTGCAGTGATTCACATTTCTTGTATCTATCCCCAAATAATGGTGACCGCCTCTCTTGCAGCATACAATATGTATTGTCTCAAATTGACAAGTGCATTCAGTATGGAGAAGATGCAGATGTGAAGGTTAAGGATTTTGATCCAGAGGATGTTGATGATGAATAGCCCTGTTGATGGCTCATTTTTAACTATGTTACTGAATTTGAACAATGATACTTTGTGTATATAAGCAGCATCCAATTCCAAATATTTGTATCTCAGAAGTGATATAAATAACTGTCTCGGGTTAAATGAAATAAACTATTTGATTTTGTTAGTTGAAGTTTGGGATCCATTTGTTTGGTTTGTCACCTAAAAGTTCCTGAAGCAGAGTGTAGAACCATTTTGACAGATTTCTGTGTGACATATATGCCAATTCGGTGGGGCAAATGACACCATGCAAATTTTTTGTCAGACTGAATCAGCAGTAGGGTTGTGGCTTTTCAGTCTGGACTGTTTTTTATTTTATTTTATTTTGCTTCAATCTGTAAGAAAAACACACTGTCATCAAGATGGAAAAAAACTTCAGCAACTGGACACCACAAAATACTGCAGAAAAGATTCAAATCCAGAGTAATACAGCATTGAGATTGATAAATTAAGTGCGACATACAGGAAGCATATCAAAAAACTATTTGCGTCTGTACATGTCGTGGCACTTCTTTTGGGAGATACCATTGCAATGCTTATTTCTATAGAGAGAGTTTGGGAGAGACAGGTGTCTGGATCAGCCTCAGAGAGATAGACATCAAGTATATTATAATAAGGCCTCCTCCCAAAACCATGTCCAGCCTCATATTTCTCATTGGCAGCACCACTAGTGCCCAGATCAAGCCAGCAACCAAAAACCCTAATGTTTCCAGGAGATGGGGGTTCTCAGGGAACAAAACAGGTGAAGGGTATGCGTGCCAAGATGATCCAACAAGAGACAGACCTAGACCAAAGAGTGTGTTGAAAATGGGGCCTGCATAGCATCCTGATAATGCAACCTGTGCACCTTCCGGACCACCATTCAAGGCCATCGTCAGGTTTGTTATCAGATCTCCAAGGGAATTGCCCCAAGCAAGGGCAGTTAGTCCCAAAATGGAAGAGCTGATTCCATATATGTACTCGAGTGACACCAACAAGGCCACCAGTTCCTGAGCTGTAATGAAAGTCCAGATCACACTCATCAGGAACCCTCCAGCTAGCCAGGAGATCAAGCACGTTTTTGGTGGGGATGATTTCTCCGTTGTCATGAATGCAAGAACCCCAAAAGTTGCCCCAAAAAGCAACCCAATTCCATGCACCAACAAGCTTGTTCTATAGGTGAGGTCTTCATCTTGAAGGTTCCAAAGGGCTGATAGGAAAATTGGAGCTAGTGTCACTGAAGCAACTGCAATTGGCTTAGACCATCTCTTTTCACAAACAACAGGAATTGTCAATCTCCTAGGTAGATAAAGGGGCATCTCAAGGATCCAAAGCATCATAGTGCAGGAAGGTGACGATCTTAAACAGAAACAACATCTCTTGACCTCTTCTTCGCTTTCATCATCTGCTTTCTCAGTTTCATTCAGAATAGGTAAGCTCAAATCATTTCCATAAATTGAATTATCATCCATTTTGCTGTCCTTGTTACCAGCAGTCCAGCTGAGATATGTGATGTAAACAATGATAACATAGACGATGTATATCGAAGAAAAGCAGATAGCATTCCAGAGATTGATTTCTCCATGAATCAAGATCAGAGCTAAGGATACAAGAACTAAAAGGAGGAAGCAGACATCTCTGATAAAGGCAGGTTTATTGACAAAAACCCTCTTTTGGTGCATGAATATACTTATGGTTCCAACCACAACACAAGTCACAAAGGAAGCACCACCTAGCACTGCATTTAGGCCAATTTCTCTTATTCCACTGCCCATAAAGGAGACAAAGTTGGCAAAGACATCAGGAGCACCATTTCCTAGAGACAGGAGAGTAACCCCAGCAATTGTGGGGGACAATTTTAACAGACTTGATAAGCTTTCAAGGGAGTAACAAAAGTATTCAGAAGCTGTGTTTCCCAAAAGATAGAACAAAACAAGAAGCCAAAGAAAGAGAAGAAAATGACCCAAGAAGGGAAATCCTCCAAAATTGCAATAGAAAAGGGAAAGATAATCAATATAGCCTTGAGAGACACAAGGGTTTTTAGATTTGAGATACAAGCACCTGGCTTTATAGTCTTCAAGTTTATGCAGATCTTTGCAATCCTGATCAGTACTACCATTCAAGGAATTACTGCTCAGAAAAAGAACCTCTGTGGAGTTGAAATACAGGACCAAGGAAGCAAATGCTACAAAGAGAAATGAAACGTTCAGGAATATGATATATTTATTCTTGTACTCGGATATAGAAACCAAGGTACCCATCACAGAAATTCAAATCCAAACTTGTTCCACCAACAGAAAAATTGAACTAATCCAAGATTAAAAATTGGGTCTGGGGGTCTAGGGCTGAAAGCACAAAGGGTAGTGAGAACGTTTGGCTTGGAGACTTATCCAATGTGGGAGAAACGCTCTGGTGGGAGGAGATCAAGGAGATGAAGGGTAAAGTCGTACACTTGTCAGCATCAGCAATAGGGGAGTAGGATCTGCGGCACGACGCGAGGCAAATAGTGCATGTGGTATTTATTGATGCCATGTAAGGATATGACTCTGATGGAAATAAAAATGGGAAATGTGCAAAAATAAAGTGAAGGTGATGGGAATGCATGACCATCTTTTGTGATTGGAGAAAAGGAACGGCCTGAACTAAATCAGAGCGCAGGAAATATCAGATTTGTGGTGTGTGTTAGGGGTTCATTTTGTTAGATAAATTTGAAAATAATAAAAAGATATTAGCTTCTTTTTTCTTTTTCTTTTTTTTTTTTTTGTATAGTTGGTGAAATAGAAAAAGATAGATAAATTCATCATATCATTTATGAATGAGAAATTGATATTCATAATTTAATGTCCATTATTATCTCTATCTAGCCCCGTAATAGTTGAAAATTTGGTGATCAATCCAAAGAAGATAGTGATGTAAACCAAATACAATTATAAAAGAAAATGAAAGATATGTCATCGGATCCTAAGTCCGAAAGTAAAATTCATTGCTCCATAATAAGAGCAACAATAGGAGCAACAAAATGTGGGTCAAGTTTTTATCGTTACATTATAAATGTTATAAATTAAAGAAAGAAGGAAGAAAGTAAAAGAGAGATAATGTAAGATAATGAGATAACACTATATTTTATTTTTTTATGTCATTTTCATACAAGTTATAAACTACATATATATATAGGTTAAAAAAAATAGACATTACTCAATTAATCACCAACAAAATAGGAATTCATCACCATGTAAATATGTAAGAATTAAGCGACAATTTGGATTAGTTTTTTTGGATACAACTAACAATTGATAATTGATGTTTGATAACTAATAATCATTGTTATTTATAATTTAAAATATCTAATTCGTTTAATTAAAATCAACAACTGATAATTGTTTTAAAAAAACTGAAACAAACACCCTTTAAGTGTTAAGCACCATTACTCAATGAAAAAGTGATGAGTAAATCACCATTATATAATGTGTAAATGAATAAAAAAAGTGGGGAATGGAAGATGACAAAAACACGAAATAAATATTTAAAGTGTATTCAACATTTGACATTTGTGAAATTATGGATCAAAAAATAGCATGTTTGTACACATAATTTATAAATGTTGATTCTATTAATTGTGTAACTTTGGGTACTTGAAGGTTGAAGGATTAAACGGAAAAAATTGAAAGCAAAGGGACTTAAGTGCAAAGAGTAAAAAAGATGAAGATTCAAAGGTTAAATATTAAAGTTTTAAGGCTGTTTTATCCATTATTGGCAAAGAAATGTGTGCACAAACCAGAATGCTAGTTTTTAGGTTCCAGCGCCCTGAAGCGTCACTTGAAATGAGAAGGCATAAAAATTCCAGAAGCAACTTTTGGCTTGCATTA